TTTTTTTTCTTCTGCTTATGTGGTGCTGAGGAATCGAACCCAGGGCCTCATGCATGCAAGGCAAGCGCTCTACCACTGAGCCACCTTCCCAGCCCAAAGTGGCATATTTTTAAAATTATTTTTAAAATTATCTTTAGATCATTGTGCAAAAGGAAAGGTAACATTTTTAAATGCTGAAAAAAGTTTAAGACTCCTTTAAAATGAGTAGACAAAACCATATAAACTCCAAGGTATATTTTTATATTCATAAATGTAAGTTAAATTGATGGAATGATTGCACAACAGAGCCAAATGTCAGAGTGGTAAATATAAGAATGGGAGTGTGTAGCTGAGCATGAGTAAGATAAATTATGTAGTATTGGTAGATTGGTAGATTGTGTGGTATTTGTTCATTTAATGGACTACTGTAAACTTCTCCGTCTTTGGGAGACAGTTTCTTTTATTTTGGTTGATTGAGTTTAGTAAGCTACACTTGATCACTTTAACATCTAGTTTCTTTTACACTCAGTACTCCTTTTCAATTTTTTTTTTTTGCAGAAGTCACTGCATTTTTTACCGAACTGTATATTTTTTTTTCTTTCCCCAGCAAGATGAAAGGAATGTCCAGACATTCACAAATGGTGAAGATTAGAAGTCCTAGCAAACACAAGAAATGTAACAATGGCAATGCTACTCATGGAGCAGTCACTTCATCAGGGAATCACTGCTGTGGTTCAAAGCCTGAAGGTCCAGCAGAGGCAAATGAAGATCCTCTTGGTGTGTTGATAAACAGTGATTCTGGTAAGCCAAAAGGAAAGCAGTGTGTATATAAGTATGTGGACAGTGATGCTTAAATTGATTATTCATAGCCTTGTTCATGGAGATATAATGGCAAATACATACAAATGAAGTGATTATTTTATTATTTTTTGCAGTACTGCAGTTTCACCTCAGGGCCTTGTGCTTACCTGATGAACACTCTACTGCTGAACTGCACCTTTAGGCTGTTTTTGTACTGATTATTTTTTAGGTAAAGTCTTACATATTGCCTGGCTGAATATTTGGACCAAGTTTCTGGGATGGCAAGTGCATGCCACTACCACACCCAGCTGCTTCTGTTGAGATAGAATCTTACGGGGTTTTTCTGCCTGGGCTGGGTTGGATCCTTCTAATCTCATCTTCCCACGTATCTAGAATTATAGGACTGAATGACTAGTGCCTGACTGTTTTTTTTGTGGGGAAGGAGGGGCTGCGGGGGTGGTATGCTTGAACTCAGGGCCTGAGCAATATGCCTGGGATTTTTTGCTTAAGGCTAAAACTATACCACTTGAGCCACAACTCTATTCCTGGACTTTTGCTGGTTAATTGGAAATAAGAGTCTCATGCATTTTCTTGCTCAGGCTGGCTTTGAACTGTGATCCTCAGATCTCAGCCTTTAATGAAGAGCTAGAATTACGGGTGTGAGCTAACAGCACCCAGCTTAATTTTTGTTTTTATGAGGAATATCTTATCAAAAACCTCATTTCAGAAATTCTTTCTGCGTCTTGAGGTAGGTACATGGGACAAGCAAATTATAGTGAAAGATACTATTTGTTGGTTAATTTCCAAAGTATGATATAGTATTGGGAATTTTATTTAAGGTTATTTCTCATTACTGTCTGTACAAATTTGCTCGATTATTTTTTCCTTCATTCCACCTATAAAGCATTAATGCTTTGGAAGCCAGTGTTATTTGTGTTCCAAAGCACAGGCATACTCTCCTTGGAAAAATAGTCCTATTTATTTTATTTGTGTAATTATATTCTTCAGAACTTAAAAGTATACTTATATGTGTCCATAGTTTATTCAAATGTTCTCTTTAAGACTTAAGAAAAAAAGTTGAAAGCACTAAAATATTGCTATCATGTACAGGTAGTTTCAGCTTCTGAGACTCCAGTTTTCCTTCAGAGAAATGGAAATATATGTAACATTGTGCTTTAATTATATATGCTTTCTACTACAGAAGAGAAAGATTATTAGTGAGTGAACTGCTGTTTATCATAGATTTGATTCTAGTCTCTGTTCAGCTTGGATGACAGTTTCTATGACAACCACATGGTAAAAGTTATTAGAGATGGTAAGAAATGAGGGAAACCTTCCCTGACTGGATTAGGATGCAGAAGGATCTTGGCACAGGAAATGTTGGGTTAAGTAAAGATGAAATTTAGTAGGGATGGTAATAATAAAAGTTTAACACGGGCTGGGAAGGTGGCTCAGTGGTAGAGTGCTTGCCTTGCATGCATGAGGCCCTGGGTTCAATTCCTCAGCACCACATAAACAGAAAAACCTGGAAGTGGCACTTTGGCTCAAGTGGTAGGGCGATAGTCTTGAGCTAAAGAGCTGAGGGACAGTGCTCAGGCCCAGAGTTCAGGCCCCATGACTGACAAAAATAAATAAATAATAAAAATAAATTAAATAAATAAATTAAATAAAAGTTTAACACCAGTTAACAGTTATTGAGTAAGGTTATTTCTTAAGCTCTATGTGCTTTATGAATATTAACTCTTCCATATGATGACCATCTACCTAGGTACTATGACAACTTCTGCTTTGGAAATGAGGAACACAGGTAATCTACCTTAGCCATACTGTTGATTAGTAGCAGAGCCTGAATTTGAACTTCAGTAATCTGATTCCACTAGTATCCTACATGTCCTCCATAGGTGAAGTTTGAAGTTTTCTCAGAAATACTGCGATCCTACGATAGTGAAGATGTGAGAACAAGTTTAAGGAAAGGCATACAATACTTTAGCCAGTGCTGAATTTACTTTTGGACAGTGATTTTTTTTCTTCATTTTAGTTTTAGAGACATCTTCAGATTTGCAATGTGTGATTTTGGTGACAGAATGTCATCTGTAGCCCAAATATAAGTTCCATGTTAAAATTCTTACATATTCTTGGTTATTAGCCTACTTAAGAGTTTGTTGTTGTTTAAATCTCTTTTTGATATTCATCAGTTAAGACTGAGTATTTTTTTTTTTTACAGTTTAAATATATATACAATAACCTGGTGGTATAATCTGTAATGGCAGCGTTCAGGATGCTAAAGCAGGAGGATTGTGGGCTACACAAGTTCCCACCGAGTATACATAGTGAAACTCACAGTCCAGGATGGCTAGCAGCTCTTTGGTAGTTTTGGAATAGTGACAGAACAAAAGCCAGTAAATAAAAATGCAAGAAGTTCTTTAACTTTTCTTAAAAATTTAAGTCTCCTATCTGAGTTAGAAAAAAAGCAGCTACTCAGTAAGGTAGCCACAACCTTCTTCAACTGTAGAGTCTCATCATCCATAAAACAATGACAATCTAACTCATTAGTCACTTGTTATAAATATAGCTCTTGTCATAGAGCATTAGAACATCTGTTGGCTTTACTGGTTAAAGAGTAGATGGTAAAAATAACCTGGAAATAACCTGGCCTAGTGCATAGTTGGCAAAATATGCTCCATCCTTAAATGTCTTTGATTGTATTATGATACCAGGAATCAAACCCAGGTTTTAGTTAGTGCTAAGCAAGCACTCTCTGAACCACACCCCAGCCCTGAGTGTCTTAAGAGTTAAGAGACTATAGAAGACTGAATCCAGAACTTTATGTATGTTAGGCAAACACTCTGCCACTGAGCTCCATTCCCAACCTTTGCATTTTCTTTAGTAGACTTAATTATAGATCTTCTTGTGGGTAAAGAGTGTAATTGTTTTCTCCTACAGGCAAAATCAAGTAATGGCAGTCAGCAGTGTATAAAGAAATAAGTTATAGAAAGAAATTGGATGGGAAGCTGGTGTGTAGAGTTGGATAAGACATTGATATTGACAATTTCTATACATATATATATATACACACATATGCATACATGATTGATTTGGATATTCTTTTTTCCTATTTTTGTTTTTGAGGAGATTTAGGAGGTTCAACATTTTGCTTGCTCAGCATTGTAATTCAGAGAAATGCTGTAGACTTAAAGAGTCATCCTTGCTTTCAGTCTAGGATGGCTGGCAGCCCTTAGATACTTTCTGAATGGGGACTGGTCACTGGAAAGAGCAGTGCTAGATTAGAAGATTAGGTCTTTCATCTCTACCTTCCAACTTCCAGGGAGAGAAGAGAGGTTGAAGGTTAAGTTGATTTTCAGTGGCCTACAATTTAGCCAGCCATGCCTATGTAGTAGAAGCTGTATAAAAGTCCAAAAGGAGAATTTGTAGAGCTTCCACAGAGCTGAGCATATGAGAGGTCCTAGTGGGAAGGCAGCCCGGGAAGTTCTATTCCTGTCTCTACTTCAACCAGCACCTCTCTTCAACTGTACAGTATTTGTGAGTTGTTCTATGTAATACATTGAGAAATGGGAAAAAGAAAGAGATCTAGCCTTGAGGTGTGTGAACATAGCATGTGCACGCCTGTGCGCGCACACACATACACATAATTAGAAGAATTTCTCCAAGAAAGTGTCACTCATGTTTTAACAATAAGAGTATGTTTTGGTTTATTATATAGTAACTCTCAAGTCTAGTTCTATCATCTTGATTGCTACTGTCTTTATACTGTTATTTTTAGTTTAGAGAAGTGTTTTAGCTGCTCTTTAAAAAAAGAGGGAGGGGGGAGTTTTTTGAGTATCTTTTTTTTATCCAGTACAGTGTCTTTGAATGCCTTTGACCGTCCTTCTAGGATGGGTGCTAAAAATGCTGTTAGAAATGCATGGGACTTTGGGGGATCCCCTCCACCCTTGATGACGGCATTGTAGAAGATGATTTGATAGTGCCAGAGCACACAGTGCCTCTTTCAAAGTTTGAATTGTTATAGGTTTTTATTTTATATTCTATTTTATATTTAAATGTAAAATGAAGAGCCTCGATTACTCTTATTCTTAGAAGTTATAGGCCTTTGAAGGCTATTGTTTGAATAATGGATAGACATTAACATCATACAAGTTTTCTGCTTAATTTACATATGTAGATTACATAGTTTCCTTTCCCTTCATTAATCCGGAGGAAACGGTAATAATGTATCTTAAAACTAATAAGGAGCAATTTTTGTGTGGATAGTAGAAGATAGGAGATGTCTTCATCCCACTGGAGATGCACGGCCAACATTCGCATACAGTGGTATTTCCATTTCCTGGTAGAATGTTTGCTTTCCCTTTCCCAGTTTTGAACATTAAATACTCCATCTTGAAACATTTCATATTGGTTGTGGGTCAGATTGGTTTATTAAAGAGGCAAGTTACTTATTGTCTTCAATCCAGCTTGATTTTTATGGGTTGTCTAGAATAGAGTTAATGCGTTTTTAGAGCTGCCAAAAATAAATGTAATAGGTGGTGTCCCACGGCTCCGGTGGAACTTGCTGGGCTCTGATCAAACACTTTCCCTTTGGCAGGCTCTTTAGTGCTTGTGAAACTCTCATGGTTGGCTTGTTGACTTAAGTTCTTAGAAGTTCTGAATAATAAAAAGGTTGAAACAGGCATTTCAGTAAAACTCTAAGCCCATAGAATGGCTTAAATCTTACTTGATTCTGGAAAACCAGTCCTAAACCCACAATATTTTATTCGTAAATCAACAATAAAAACAGCACTATTTTATTCCTCAGTCTGATTTTCAGAGTTAATGATCCTTATCCAGTAAAGTTAAGTAAATTTTTTACTTTTGCCCTACATGTAAATTAATAGCAAAGACTGTGTAATTAAGTTAATTTAGGGATGGCTCAAATTCCATCACCTGTGAAGCATGGTAAGTTAACTGAGCTATGTGTAGTTTCCATTTGTTCCTGTCCCTGCCCTGGAGCAAATAACTTCTTTGCTTAAGATTTAAACCAACCAGAAATTTGTCAAGCCTTCTAGAATTCATTTTTTGGGAAGATCAAGGAAATGATAACAAGTTACTTTTATTAACAGATGAAAGAGTAGACGCCAGCTTTCTTGTGTTGGTGGGAGCTGTTTGGGGGTATGCTGTTTAAATCCTGTTCTTTCCCCATCTGTTCAGAATCTGATAAGGAAGAGAAACCACCACAGACAGTCATTCCTAAGGAGGTGACGCCAGCCTTGTGTTCACTGATGAGCAGCTATGGCAGTCTCTCAGGGTCAGAGAGTGAGCCTGAAGGTAAGTCAAGGCTTCTCTTGGTATGAGGTGTCTTTTTGCCTTTGGTTCAGTGTGTGTTAATAGCACTAGGATGAGTAGTCTTTATTTGATCTTTAAATTCCTTTATTCTTGGCTCTCAAGGATCCTTGTCATAATTTTAGTTTATAATACCTAATGTTTATAGGGCATTGCTCTTTATGGAGCACATTTACATAAATTTTCTCACTTGGCAAATACATCCCTATATTTGTGGTTGAAATAGACTGGATACAAGAAATGGAATACTTTGAGAATCTTTCTGAGAGGCCAGTGGTGCTTGGATGATTACAGTGAAATTTGTTAGGACAAGTGAGTTTAATGGACAGTACCTTTTTTTTTTTTTTGGAGGGAGGATGTGTACAAGTACTGTGAATAGAGTGTTGATATGATGCCATATGATGCCAGGTGACGTTTTGTTTTGGGTTTTGGTGGTACTAGAGTTGTTGAACTCAGGACCTTGTGCTTGTTATGCAGGTGCTGTACCACTTGAGTTAGACTGTCACTGCCTTTTTGCTTTGGCTGTTTTATGCCTGAGCTAGCATGGACCTCATTTCTATTTGTGCTGTCTGTGTTGCTGAGATCACAGGTGTAGGCCACCTGTGACTAACTTTATTGGTTGATAATGGGGTCTTGCACACTTTATGTTCAAGCTGGCCTCAAACCACAATCTTCCTGATTTGTACCCCACGGGCATTTAGGATTATAAATGTGAGAACTATGCCTAGCTAGAAAGAAAAGTTTTAACCCAAGGTTTGTATTGATAATTCTACATATATTTGGTGAGTAAACCTATGTCCTGTTATGGTAATTTTATTTAGGCTTCTCCAACTATGAGAGAACTTAAGCATATGTGTCTCAGGAGAAATGTAGTCAAACTACAGTAGCTTTAGTACAGTCAATGTAGGACTGTGCTAAAGGTAAGAATACAGTCTTAGCCTTTATTTAGAATGAAGATTTGAAAATAGTTTCATGAAAATAACAGCTCATTTAGTATTGATTAGGCTAGAGATAACTAATGTTTGGATAGTTGGAGGATGTTGAGTAAGAAGAGCTAGGCTTCAGTATGAAATATGAATATAACATGGGAAGTTTTAAATTAATAGCCTATGGTATGTTTTGTCCAAAAACAACTTGAAATTTGAAGTATAAACTACGTTAACTTTATCAGAGTCCTCCTTAACAGATAGTGGCCTATTATATCAATTTTGGGAAAACAACTTAATTCTTACTCTTGTTTCAAATATACTAATTTGAACCTGGAGTCATTCTCTGAACACATATTACATTTCTAGGGAAGCAAACTATTACCAGATTACTGAATCCCATAAAGACAAGCTGAATTAATTCTTTCTTCTCTTTCTTAAGATAAAATACTGTTACACTCATATCTTTACTTATAGGTCATATAGCATTAAGTATGCTATGTTAGTTGTGGCAGAACAGATATAAAAACAGGGTGCAGACTTAAAAGCCATAGAGGCCAATTATATTGCTTTCCCTTAACACCTTTGTATGTCATTTGCTGTCTTCCTGAACAGTAATATGAAATCTTGTAGGTACCAAAGGACACTTTGTGATAAAATCAATGTTTAATTTTTTTGGGGGGGTGGTCTGGTCATGGGGCCTGAACTCTGGGCCTGGGTGCTGTCCCTCAGTTCTTCAGCTCAAGGCTAGCACTCTATCAAAGGCTAGCACTCTATCACTTGAGCCACAGTGCCACTTCCGGCTTTATTTCTTTTTGTTTATGTGGTGCTGGGGAATCGAACCCAGGGCCCCATGCATGCAAGGCAAGGACTCTACCACTGAGCCACCACCTTCCCAGCCCCTAATTTTGTATAAATTAATTTTGACTAATTATTTAAAATTCCTTGCTTTAGAAGAGAAAGCCCTTGTTTCATATTCCTAAGTCTTGATGTTTATTTTTTATATATCAAGTGAGTATGAGGCCCCAATACCAGCACAAAAGGAAAAAGATTACAGCCAACATACTTAATATTTGGTCCTCTTTTACTTTGTGCTACTGTTACCATAGAATTTATTTCTACAGATATTATAAATCCTACTCACTATTTTAAAATACTTTAGTCAATTATGTTTAATTTTTTTCAAATAAGAGGAAATATGTCTTGTGTTTATCCACATATTTCTGTTTCCTGTCTTAATATTTATTTTATAGATCAAGTGTCTTTGGATATTATTTCCTAGTCTCCTCAATTCTTGGCAGGTTCAGCTTTAAATTTGAAAAAAAAAATTGGAATGCATTACAAATGCTTTGCAAAATCTCTCCTAGCCGTCAGTTAACTAAGTAGCCAATATGACGGCTAGGAGGATTTTTGTGGCTCTTTTGGTTATCTTTGAAAGTTCTACCTGTTTTCTGTGTGTTGTTTAACTTTTGTGTTTGTTTTTCATAAAACTTAGAAACTCCCATCAAGACAGAAGCAGACATTGTGGCAGAGAATCAGGCTCTGCAGAGCACTGCTCCCAAGAGTCCAAGTAAAAATGCTGTAGCAACTGTTCAGAACTCCTCAGGAGCCCAGTGTGGAAGTACAAAGAAAAGCTTTCGAAATACAAACCCCAAGAAGAAAAAAAATATTCGCAACTATCAAACACTATTTGAACCAAGAACACATCATCCCTATCTCCTGGAAATGGTAAGTGATTGCTCTTCACACTAATGTTCATATATGTCAGAAAGGTAGGGCAGAACCTTAGGGTCCTTGAACACTTGTCTATATATCTTAATTTTGAAGTTGAAGCTGGGATATAGCTGCTGTTCAGTAAGTGAAATGATCCCAGTTTTCAGGACTGCTTAAAATCAGACATTAGTTTAAGGAAATTTATAATAAGGTGAAATTGTCCATTGAAAATACAGATGGAAGTTGAGCACTGGTGGCTCACAGCTATAGTCCTAGTTTCCCAGAAGGCTGAGATCTGAGGATTGAAGTTCAAAACCAGCCCATGCAGGAGAGCCCATGAGACTTAAAAAAATAAAAAGCCTGGAAATGGAGTTGTGGCTCACATGGTAGAGCGCTAGCCTTGAGCACAAAAACTCAGGGATAGTGCGCAGGCCCTGAGTTCATCCATCAGGACTGGCACAAAATAAAACAATTAACAAAAATTCCAGATTACTACAGCAGCAGGCTTTTAAGAAATCCTTAATAGGATTTGTTGTTGTTTAAATAGAAATGCTTATTGAAAACCATAAAGCAATGGAAAGAAACTGAGGTTTCTAATTTCCTGCCTTTAAGAGTAATAGAAATGGGCTGGAAAGGTGGCTCAGTGGTAGAGCGCTTGCCTTGCATGCATGAGGCCCTGGGTTCGATTCCTCAGCACCACATAAGCAAAAAGGAAAAAAAAAGCTGGAAGTGGCGCTGTGGCTCAAGTGGTAGAGTGCTAGCCCTGAGCTGAAGAGCTGAGGGGACAGCGCCCAGGCCCAGAGTTCAGGCCCCATGACTGACAAAAATAAATAAATAATAAAAATAAATTAAATAAATAAATTAAATAAAAGTTTAACACCAGTTAACAGTTATTGAGTAAGGTTATTTCTTAAGCTCTATGTGCTTTATGAATATTAACTCTTCCATATGATGACCATCTACCTAGGTACTATGACAACTTCTGCTTTGGAAATGAGGAACACAGGTAATCTACCTTAGCCATACTGTTGATTAGTAGCAGAGCCTGAATTTGAACTTCAGTAATCTGATTCCACTAGTATCCTACATGTCCTCCATAGGTGAAGTTTGAAGTTTTCTCAGAAATACTGCGATCCTACGATAGTGAAGATGTGAGAACAAGTTTAAGGAAAGGCATACAATACTTTAGCCAGTGCTGAATTTACTTTTGGACAGTGATTTTTTTTCTTCATTTTAGTTTTAGAGACATCTTCAGATTTGCAATGTGTGATTTTGGTGACAGAATGTCATCTGTAGCCCAAATATAAGTTCCATGTTAAAATTCTTACATATTCTTGGTTATTAGCCTACTTAAGAGTTTGTTGTTGTTTAAATCTCTTTTTGATATTCATCAGTTAAGACTGAGTATTTTTTTTTTTTACAGTTTAAATATATATACAATAACCTGGTGGTATAATCTGTAATGGCAGCGTTCAGGATGCTAAAGCAGGAGGATTGTGGGCTACACAAGTTCCCACCGAGTATACATAGTGAAACTCACAGTCCAGGATGGCTAGCAGCTCTTTGGTAGTTTTGGAATAGTGACAGAACAAAAGCCAGTAAATAAAAATGCAAGAAGTTCTTTAACTTTTCTTAAAAATTTAAGTCTCCTATCTGAGTTAGAAAAAAAGCAGCTACTCAGTAAGGTAGCCACAACCTTCTTCAACTGTAGAGTCTCATCATCCATAAAACAATGACAATCTAACTCATTAGTCACTTGTTATAAATATAGCTCTTGTCATAGAGCATTAGAACATCTGTTGGCTTTACTGGTTAAAGAGTAGATGGTAAAAATAACCTGGAAATAACCTGGCCTAGTGCATAGTTGGCAAAATATGCTCCATCCTTAAATGTCTTTGATTGTATTATGATACCAGGAATCAAACCCAGGTTTTAGTTAGTGCTAAGCAAGCACTCTCTGAACCACACCCCAGCCCTGAGTGTCTTAAGAGTTAAGAGACTATAGAAGACTGAATCCAGAACTTTATGTATGTTAGGCAAACACTCTGCCACTGAGCTCCATTCCCAACCTTTGCATTTTCTTTAGTAGACTTAATTATAGATCTTCTTGTGGGTAAAGAGTGTAATTGTTTTCTCCTACAGGCAAAATCAAGTAATGGCAGTCAGCAGTGTATAAAGAAATAAGTTATAGAAAGAAATTGGATGGGAAGCTGGTGTGTAGAGTTGGATAAGACATTGATATTGACAATTTCTATACATATATATATATACACACATATGCATACATGATTGATTTGGATATTCTTTTTTCCTATTTTTGTTTTTGAGGAGATTTAGGAGGTTCAACATTTTGCTTGCTCAGCATTGTAATTCAGAGAAATGCTGTAGACTTAAAGAGTCATCCTTGCTTTCAGTCTAGGATGGCTGGCAGCCCTTAGATACTTTCTGAATGGGGACTGGTCACTGGAAAGAGCAGTGCTAGATTAGAAGATTAGGTCTTTCATCTCTACCTTCCAACTTCCAGGGAGAGAAGAGAGGTTGAAGGTTAAGTTGATTTTCAGTGGCCTACAATTTAGCCAGCCATGCCTATGTAGTAGAAGCTGTATAAAAGTCCAAAAGGAGAATTTGTAGAGCTTCCACAGAGCTGAGCATATGAGAGGTCCTAGTGGGAAGGCAGCCCGGGAAGTTCTATTCCTGTCTCTACTTCAACCAGCACCTCTCTTCAACTGTACAGTATTTGTGAGTTGTTCTATGTAATACATTGAGAAATGGGAAAAAGAAAGAGATCTAGCCTTGAGGTGTGTGAACATAGCATGTGCACGCCTGTGCGCGCACACACATACACATAATTAGAAGAATTTCTCCAAGAAAGTGTCACTCATGTTTTAACAATAAGAGTATGTTTTGGTTTATTATATAGTAACTCTCAAGTCTAGTTCTATCATCTTGATTGCTACTGTCTTTATACTGTTATTTTTAGTTTAGAGAAGTGTTTTAGCTGCTCTTTAAAAAAAGAGGGAGGGGGGAGTTTTTTGAGTATCTTTTTTTTATCCAGTACAGTGTCTTTGAATGCCTTTGACCGTCCTTCTAGGATGGGTGCTAAAAATGCTGTTAGAAATGCATGGGACTTTGGGGGATCCCCTCCACCCTTGATGACGGCATTGTAGAAGATGATTTGATAGTGCCAGAGCACACAGTGCCTCTTTCAAAGTTTGAATTGTTATAGGTTTTTATTTTATATTCTATTTTATATTTAAATGTAAAATGAAGAGCCTCGATTACTCTTATTCTTAGAAGTTATAGGCCTTTGAAGGCTATTGTTTGAATAATGGATAGACATTAACATCATACAAGTTTTCTGCTTAATTTACATATGTAGATTACATAGTTTCCTTTCCCTTCATTAATCCGGAGGAAACGGTAATAATGTATCTTAAAACTAATAAGGAGCAATTTTTGTGTGGATAGTAGAAGATAGGAGATGTCTTCATCCCACTGGAGATGCACGGCCAACATTCGCATACAGTGGTATTTCCATTTCCTGGTAGAATGTTTGCTTTCCCTTTCCCAGTTTTGAACATTAAATACTCCATCTTGAAACATTTCATATTGGTTGTGGGTCAGATTGGTTTATTAAAGAGGCAAGTTACTTATTGTCTTCAATCCAGCTTGATTTTTATGGGTTGTCTAGAATAGAGTTAATGCGTTTTTAGAGCTGCCAAAAATAAATGTAATAGGTGGTGTCCCACGGCTCCGGTGGAACTTGCTGGGCTCTGATCAAACACTTTCCCTTTGGCAGGCTCTTTAGTGCTTGTGAAACTCTCATGGTTGGCTTGTTGACTTAAGTTCTTAGAAGTTCTGAATAATAAAAAGGTTGAAACAGGCATTTCAGTAAAACTCTAAGCCCATAGAATGGCTTAAATCTTACTTGATTCTGGAAAACCAGTCCTAAACCCACAATATTTTATTCGTAAATCAACAATAAAAACAGCACTATTTTATTCCTCAGTCTGATTTTCAGAGTTAATGATCCTTATCCAGTAAAGTTAAGTAAATTTTTTACTTTTGCCCTACATGTAAATTAATAGCAAAGACTGTGTAATTAAGTTAATTTAGGGATGGCTCAAATTCCATCACCTGTGAAGCATGGTAAGTTAACTGAGCTATGTGTAGTTTCCATTTGTTCCTGTCCCTGCCCTGGAGCAAATAACTTCTTTGCTTAAGATTTAAACCAACCAGAAATTTGTCAAGCCTTCTAGAATTCATTTTTTGGGAAGATCAAGGAAATGATAACAAGTTACTTTTATTAACAGATGAAAGAGTAGACGCCAGCTTTCTTGTGTTGGTGGGAGCTGTTTGGGGGTATGCTGTTTAAATCCTGTTCTTTCCCCATCTGTTCAGAATCTGATAAGGAAGAGAAACCACCACAGACAGTCATTCCTAAGGAGGTGACGCCAGCCTTGTGTTCACTGATGAGCAGCTATGGCAGTCTCTCAGGGTCAGAGAGTGAGCCTGAAGGTAAGTCAAGGCTTCTCTTGGTATGAGGTGTCTTTTTGCCTTTGGTTCAGTGTGTGTTAATAGCACTAGGATGAGTAGTCTTTATTTGATCTTTAAATTCCTTTATTCTTGGCTCTCAAGGATCCTTGTCATAATTTTAGTTTATAATACCTAATGTTTATAGGGCATTGCTCTTTATGGAGCACATTTACATAAATTTTCTCACTTGGCAAATACATCCCTATATTTGTGGTTGAAATAGACTGGATACAAGAAATGGAATACTTTGAGAATCTTTCTGAGAGGCCAGTGGTGCTTGGATGATTACAGTGAAATTTGTTAGGACAAGTGAGTTTAATGGACAGTACCTTTTTTTTTTTTT